GGCTGGCTCCAAGGCAGGGATGCCAAACAGGCATCACAGAGGAGAAACAGCATGGCATGCACAAGGTAGCAAAGTTAACAAGAGAGTTTAACAGCATCTTTCTGCCCCTTTTATCTTATTCAGACTAGGACTAGGATTAGGGCAGTGCCAAACTAATCACTCACATGAAATAATTTAGCAGTCACATGCCCTTAACCCCAGCATCACACATTCCAGATTCAACTGCCCACCTTATCTGCATGAGGCTTTGGAGGGACACTTAAACACAAACCATAGCATCTTAGGAAGGGCGAAAGGGTCCCAGCCAGTAAATAAGCTGGTATATAAAATTAGGAAAATGAGCAGAAGTCCCCTCATATAGTCTTTGTACATAAAGTCTGGATTTAAGGAAAGGGGCTGCTATAGTTTGGATATAGTTTTAGTATTCCCCAAATGTAATGAAGCCTCCATAAAAGCCCCAAAGGACAGGATTTGGAAAGCTTGTAGATTACTGAATACAGGGAGGTACTGGGAGGGTGGCATGCCCAAAGAAACCATGGAAGCTCCACATTCCTCCTGCTCTTGCATCTCTCAGCCAATACATCTTTTCATCTAACTGTTCAGCTGTATTCTTTTTATGATCCTTTGTAATCAATGAAATAAATGTAAGTGTATCTCTGAGTTCTGTAAACCATCCTAGAAAATTAATTGAATCCAGAGATTGTGGGAAATCCCAATGTATAGTCAGTCAGAAAAATAAGTGAAAACCAACTATTGGGAATTAGTGTCTGAGGTGGAGTTAGTCTTAAGAGACTGAGCCCTCAAACTGACCTAGAGACAGTGGCAGAATTGAGTGAAACTGTAGGATACCCAGTTTGATATAGAGTTGGTTGTTGGTGAAAGAAAATTCCCACACATTTTGATGATTGGAGTGTTGTGCTCTGTGGTGAGTGCTATGAAAACACAGAAAACAATTTTGTTATCCCATTATTATGTGTACTGTTAGCTAGCTGTTTATTTTTCTTAGATCCCCTTTATAAAGTTGAGAAAGTTCATTTCCATTCTTTTTTGCTGAGTTTCTTTTCATGAATCAGTGTTGAATTTTTTCAAATGCTTTTCTATATTTATTGAGATGACAATGTTATTTTTTATTATAGTGACATAACATTGCATCAGTTGGTTTTCAGTTTTAAACCAACTTAGCATTCCTGGGGTGAATTCCGTTTAGTTTTGATGTGTAGGGTTTTTTTATAAATGTTACTATAATCAGTTTTTCTGTTTCTTAGAAGAGTTTGTGGAGAAATGATGTTAACTTTTTGCATGTTTAATAGAATTCACTAGTGAAGACATCGGGCCCTTGTCTTTCCTTGCGAATAGTGTTTTTATTATTAATTCATTCTCTCACTTATGGATGTATTCAATCTTTCTTCTTGAGTAAGTTTTAGTAGTTCATGTCTTTGTTAATTTGTCCATTTCATCTAAGTAATCTAACTTATTGGCACACATAGTATCCTTTGGAATCATAATAGTCATTTATTTATTTCTGTAATGTTGGTAGTAATGTCTCCTCTTTCACTTCTAATTCTAGTAATTTTATTTTCTCTCCTTTTTATCTATATAAAGGATAGTGGCATGGCAGAGGGCAGCAAGGCAATGAAGTAGCAAAGAAGCAGCAAGCAACAGCGATAAGCAGCGACCCTCTTTCTGGCCCTTGTATCTTATCCAGTGTAACCACCCTTAGGGCAGGTAGCATTCACACCCAGGGTGGGGGAGTTTTAATCCTAGCATGGCACCACTAATCAATCCCAGCATCACATCCTTGATCCCAGCAGCACAAATCCTAGATCCAGCCACCTCTGAAAAGCCCCTCCTATGATCCAGTGAGACTTTGGGGAGACATTGAGATACAAGCCACAACGGTGGAACATGATGTAGATACTTATTAAGTCTAGTTTGTATGTAGTGCTATTCCAGTCTTCTGTTTTTTGTGTGTGCTTTTTGCTAATTGGTGCAGTTTTTTTTAATCAATTATTTAAAGTTGAATATTGAAGTCTCCAACTATACATTATTGAATTGTCTATTGTTCCTTTATATCTGTCAGTTAATATATTTCTCACTTTCTCATTTTTTTCTTAGGACTTCACATATCACAGGTGGTGCTCACCATGTCTGCGCCATGTAACAGGAAAATGGCACAAGCTGAAAGGCCCCTACTGACAAGGTTTGAGTGTTTCAGCAGATAGGAGCTACTTACTAAAGATTATTGCTTCTGTAACCTCTGTGATCTAATCCAGTAGTCTTATTCTATTGATCAAATCAAAGCCAAGAATTTTGGTTGCATGAAGAGAAAGAAAAGGAAGTTGTCTTAGTTTACCAGAAGATAAAAACACAAAATTCTATTTGTGAACTGGGGACCAAAGAGAGATTTATTGCTTAGGTACGGTGTGTTGAAGCAACAAAACTGGAAAAGAACAAGAAAGAGTTACAAAATAGTAATTTAGTTTTTAAGAGAAAGAATAAAACCTACTAAAAGATCTCTTTTGCTTCTATCAAATTTAAAACCTAGTCACTACTGCTATACCTAGGTTCTCAAGAGATGCAATAATAAAAAGCACCCCTAGTCAAATGCACTCTTTAATCCTCGCCAGGATTTCTATCCTGAAAAGTTTTAAACTTTTTTTTCTCAGATGAAATAGGCATAAAAATTTCTTTTATAATAATTCCTTGAAATTACTTTAAGAGTCAGGTCTGAGCATACCAGGACTTTGGGCACCTCAGTTAACTGTATTCAGCGATGCTGTGAAATAAAACCATCAAGGGTTTATCAAAAGAGAAAGAAAAGAATGCAGGATGTAACATCAAACACCTATAATTCTTTGATTCCATCTATAAATCATTCCATTGACTTGATTTGGGGCGAAGAGTAAGTTTAGGGCATTTTCTCATGGTGGCATCTGTGTGCTCAGAACAGAGCACGGGCCTTCATGTGTGACACTGGTTTTGCTTCAGATGCTTGAAGCAGGGGTGCTGGTGAAGATTGCTTGGTCACTAGCTTGGCAAAGGGTTGTGTGCAAAAATACCATGAATTTTATAAATTTGTTTTTATTATGCTAGTGTTTAATATTAGAATCACTGAGTAGTCACGGTTAATGGAATTTAACTTCTTGATAATAAATTAAGCTAAAAAAGCCTAAGAGGAGTAGAATATAACAAAATAAGCTTTTAATTAGAAGTTAGGGTGAAGTTAGGTTATATGTAAATAAGGAAGTCCAGTTTAAGGAGGGCCAATCAGAGGAAGACTCTACGCATGCATGCCCAGTCCACTAGCAGCTGTTAAGACAGAATCAAGTGCTGAGGAGTCTTCACAGAGACAAAGAATAGAGTAAACAACGTTTGGAGGGGCCACAGAAAATATTTACTTTTTAAAAAATTGCCTATAGCTAACTCTGCCCTGTTGACATCAAACTAGGCATCAACAGTTTCTGAATCTTAAAATATATAAAAGTCAAAAATGTTATATTAGCTAATTAATTTTTAAATAACACCATTTATTACTTTGGGACACTTTCTCAGAGTTCATTGTCCATAAAATCAAGTAATAGTAGACACTTGTCATTTGCAGTGATCTAAGTGAGCAGTCTGTGTACTTCGCATGCTGTTCCCAGGGTTTCTCAGACTAACTCCTTGAGAATTCAGGGAGTCTATGGAACATTCACTTGGAGTCGCTTGTAGGCTTTCTCGTTTGAGAAATGAGTCTTTAGAAACTTAGAAGACACTTTCTTGTAGTAATAATTCTAGGAAGGTGTGTCTTTGGGGGGACTCTAATTTTCCTTAAAATCACAGTAGAGGTGATGTTGTTATTAGAGGATAAAAATAGTACCCCCAAACTCTGTTCTACAAGGCTCAGACTCTCCTAGAATTGGTTGTTCCTCATCTTGTGTACAACAATTGAAGACATAGCTTCTGGTCAGTGCTCTCAGAGTCCTAATCCACATTAAGAGTTACAGAGTTAAAGATTGCCACAGAAAGTATGTGTAGAAATGTAGTAATGTACTTACATTGGAAGGAAAAAGCAAGGAGGAAACAATTCTGGTTCTTTTTTGGAAACTTGAACTTTTTTTTCCTTTTTTGATTTTATGAAAAAATAAAACAAAATTTCATAACAAAATAATAAGAGAATAACAATAGTTAATGCACTGTGAAGCTTCAACTTTTTTTTTTTTTTTTGGTACTGGGGATCAAACTTACAAGGCAGGAGCAGCACCGCTGAGCTAAATCCCTGGCCTGCTTGAATGTTTTTATAGAGCAAGTTAGAACAAAATTCGTTTTGGGAGCCAGATCTTTGATGGCAAAATAGTAAATGCTCATTGAGTCGCTTGAGTCAGTGCTTAGAGCATCAAGAATAAGAAGAGGGAATTTTAAACCACCCATCACTGCAGTGCTTCATATCTGTTTCACAGATCTAAGGGCTTAGGGAGTATTTGTACACTAGCTTTGGGTCTGGGATAGTTTTAGGCCCGAGGTGTCTTCCATCTCCACTGCCAGCCTTATTTTGCCCTGTCCAAATTGAATCCTCTTGATTTTATTTTTCAGGTGCAATAAAAAATGAAAAAGCAAAAACTGATTCCTATGGCTTCATTTATGATACCTTTGTTTCTCCTTGTAAAGGAGAAGGTTGATGGTCTTTAAAAATCATAGCCTTTCCCTTTCTTCCCTGCTAACCTTCCTCCTAGAATAACATTGGAGAACCCACTTCAACATTGATCCATTACGGTCTTTCCCTGTTAGATTTAGAGTGAGATCCATGTAGGGTTCTACAAAGTGAGCATTTGTATTGTCATAGTCACTGTGGGAATAAAAAGTTGTTTCAAAAATTAAAGAGGAACTTTCTTTCATCCTAACCAAATTAAAAGGCTCGCTGAGATCTCAAAATGGCACAGCTTAGGCTTCGGGACTAGACTACAGTTTTCTTCCTGCTATGCTTTGATTCTTCTAAACAGTTTATTATTTTTATGTTTGGTTTATTTGTTTAAAGGCTGTGGTTGAGGGAATTTCCTCACCATCATGTATGAAGTTAGTCTGAGTCAAGCAGAGGAATGAAGTCTTGGAAAAATTAAGAGACAGAGAGAGAACACTATATATTACACACTTATTTACAGTAAAGAATCAATGGATGCCACATGGTTATTTTCTTAAATATAAATTTAATTTAATGGTCAACAGCAGCTTACTAAAAGAAAAGTACTGTCTGTTGTTAGATTAGTAAAAAAATCTTCATACAAAAATAAGGTAGATATTCAGTTTCTTTTATCTTATCTTGATTTGTCAAATATAATACCTAAATGGAAAACTTACAGTATGGCTTGCAAGGAGTGGAATATAACAAATGACGATGATGAAAAAATGTCTCCTAGTAAGAAGAGTTTGGGAATGCTGCATATACATATTTTTCCTCTCTTCATTCCTACAATTCACTTTCTACCCTTCTCTTGAATCCTCACCTTTCCAGAGGGGAAGAACCAATATGTATTTCTCCCCAGTTATGTATATATGCACCAGTTTCTTCCCTTTCTTGTCAACACTGGATACTATCTAATTTTTTCACTATAATTTGGTGAAATAAAATCTCATTTTAATTTTCAGTAATGATAAGGTTAAATCTACTTATAATACTGATTTATCATAATACTTATTGAATGCATGTATCATGCCTACTTATTGAATGCATATCTCATGACAGTTGTTTTGTTAAATCCTTTCTGTGGTTTCCTCCTTTACTGTGATAGTATCCCTGTGATACTTGTTTAATCATCCTCATTTTACAAATGAAACTTAGGCCTACTGAGATCAGTCACTGCTCCAAGGTCACACTGCTGGGATGTGACTATTTGGATTTGAACTTAATAATGTGAATCTAGAGCTCCATATTCTTAAGAACTGTGAGTTATGCTACTTTTTTTCTTTTGGTAGCAGGGATTGAACTCAGGACCTTGTGCTTTCAAGGCAGGCGTGGTGCCACTGAGCTAAATCCCTGGCCCTATGCTACATTTTTTGTGTGCTTCTTGTCCCTTCAACTTTCTTATTGTTTTATTTTCACAGAAACTTGATGAAATTTTATTGCATAGATTAGGGTAATGACTCTTGATTGTATTTCTGTGTATAGCAGAGAAGAAGGCCAAACTGATCAACATAAAATAACTTTAATAATTTTAGAAACTTTCAGGCTTAAGAAATTATTAGTAGTACACTGTTAGAAACTATTTAATATATTTTATTTTTTGATACTGGAGAAACTTCTTGGTATTTTTTCTCAATATCTTTAATATAGCAATTTAGAAGCTCTTTATGAGATTTTTTAAAGGAACATTTAGTAGTTAGACCTACTTAAGATATTCTTAAGTACTTAAAAAACATGATTTAATTTTTTCCAAGATGTATTTGCTGAGAATAATTTAATCTGAGAATATTGCATAATTTTAACTGGCAGAAAACATTTGTACCAACTAAGTTAAAAATTTCGGAGAGATTTCCAAGCAAAACTGTCAATATTGAGATGTTGACTTCCTTTTTCCTATTAACATAGTAAAGGTCATTTGTTCCAGTTAATATAGTCTGGTTTGTTTTACAGAAATGAATGCTACAAACCAACCTTTGTCCTCTCTTTACTCACTTTTTTGGATTGATTTCCTCATTGGTTAAGAAACAGTTTGCCTTTCAATTATTTTTATGGCTTACTTTTTAAAGGAATACAGAAAAATTCTCTATTTTTACTTTCAGTAATATAAACTAGACAGAACATACACACACATGCACACACCCTTGCATTTGAAGGCAAATGAACATTTCAAATGTTTGAGTGTAAAATTATATGACAACAGAACTATGCTATTAAGACAGGAAGTAGGAGGAAACCTCTGCTAAAGTAGTGTCTAATCAGGAACATTACTTTGGAAATGCTTAGCTAACATCACTGTAATGATGTTCACAGCATTTCCACCATGGATATGGGGGAGAGGCCAGGGTATTTGCTTGGCTGACATTGGCCGGAACAGCAGATGGCTCCCATTCATTAGAATAACTACCCAAAGAAGGCTCTCTGGGCTCAGCCTTCCATGATCCTTCTACCTACTCTTCCCTGGGGATTCTTTCCCCAAGGTCTTGTATTTCCTCTTGCATTTTCAAAGTTGTCTCATCTATCACTCATTTTCTAACTGTCTTTTA